CTAAGTGAAATGAAAATATATTTATTCAAGAAGTAGTTATTCAACTTACTACCATAACAACAAAGATAATTAAATTAAACAAAATGATAGCCTGCTAAAAAATTTGATTCCGATATTGTATTCAACTTACCGTTATATTAAAGGTATTCATCGAAATTCAACAAGAATAATGGCTTACCTCAAATCTTATTTTATCATTGATCTCATAAGCTTTTTTGAAATATTCAACCATTTTTTTGAGAGCTTCAGAGTAATCATCCTAAGAATCTTTCTTTAAAAAAATCACAAAAACCAATAATGAAATTCTGATCCAAAGTAAATTTAATGCAAAAAATTCTAAGGGTAAATATGAAAAACGAATACAAAATCTAATTGCTGATATCTATATTTAGATCATAAAAAAATTGTAATCAATAATTATTGCAGAATATAGACCTGAGCATCAATAACAAATAGCAAGGCACCACAACGAACAAAAGTGTCATGAGGATTCATTGTATCGTTAAAAGGGCTCATTTGACCAGGAAACTCAATCGCTTCAAAATTGATAAACGACCCCTTCACAGTTTCAGTTGTTACACGAGGAGTGCTTTCAACAAATAATGTTTCATTTGGGGACATCTTATTGAAAACAACCTTGCGTATTGATGTCTTGCCACTTCTCAAATTCAAATAGATATATTAATATTAAACTTTATAGTACTTCCAAATAAATAAAAAGTCTCCTGAAATTTAAATCATCAATATTAAATTATAACTGTTTAGTTCACAAATAAATATTATAAAGTTTATTCTTAATATTTTACTCACAAAGTGACAAACCCAATTATCGTAGCAGCAAATCACGATTAATCACAATTTGCTGTTATTAAATCCAATAAATACATACAGAAGACTTGAAAGCTAGTGTTAATTACGAGTATGTGAAATACTTCATTAAAATGAACCTTTTCAAACCCATCAATACAATAGTAGGTTTTTGTGATTCAGATATTTGATCGTTATCATCCGCCCAACCATAGTCATATTCACCGTGACTATCTTTCCACATTACTTGCAATTATGTTATATGACAATGATATAACTGAATGCCAAAAATGACTTGTAAGAGCTGAAAATGCTTGAACGTATACTTAAGCATTCTCAACAGAAAATAACTTCAGAAGTTGAATAAATAATAATTTAGCATTTTAAAGTGCCTAAAATTATCTTTTACAATGCAACACACAACAATATACCAGAATAGTATAAGAACAGAAAATATTGTAGCCCATTTTAAACTAAACTGATATCAAACAAGAAAAATGAAATAAAATTCGATTGAGCTATTTCGTTAACTGTTGGCAAAATATTATAAGTACTTGTGAAAGTAAAAAAAACCTCTAATTAGAAATTTATTATTCAATTTACAAAGTGTAACCAAACAACAAACTCTGGACATGTGTGTATAAGTTATTTGCAAAGATAACTTATAAATTTGATACAAATGTAAGTAAATATAATTAAAAATTGCTTAAATTTATAAAAAATATACTTGATAATATGTTAAATGATAATTTATTTCAATAAAATTGATTGTAAGTTATTCATTTTTTCACGAAAAAGAATTAGTATATCTGAAAAAGCAATAATAATATTATTAATGCATTATTTAAGTTTTGTTTTTAATTTTACACTTGTGAAAACGAAAGCAAAAATAATAATTCTTTTGTGGTAATATACTTACTTCAGTCAATATATAAACGATACAAAAGTGAATATATTTTGTAAAAAAGAGTCTTGCATATTCATTTATCATTAATATTAGATTTTTGATTTTGGAGGACAAAAAATAATGCAATTTATGCACGAATAATGCTATCATATTTACTCTAAGTTCACTTTATCTTTTCTAAGATTGCATATAATATCGTTGTAATAGAATTTCTTGTGTGCATTATCTTCTTTTTTGTAATTCCATATCATACCAACTTTAAAAGATTTTCTACAGTTTTCTATTTTATATTGCACTAATAATTTTTTGATTATTACTCAAAATTTAAATAAATGAAAATTAATTAATTTTTTTCAAGAATCATAACAACTATATTTAATTGTTTAAAAAATTCTGCATCACACAACATTATACAATATGCCTTGTTTTCATTTTGGTAATTTATTTTTATTAGTTTTTTTTCTCATGATAATTTCTTTTTGCGTTAAATATATTTTTAAAAATATTGACGCGTCTTGAAACGAAAGCATGAATTACTATGCATTGCGTGTTATTTTGAACAAACTGTTGATCCAGATCCTGTCGTTACGGCTCATTAAAATATGGGAGGTTGGGAGTCAAAAAATGGTTCTTCTATTGTAGTAGGTCATTGCTCATCACCAGCTTACTGTATACGAGTTGTTGGTAGTCGACATATTCTTCTCGGCGGTGGTGGAGGTGCGTCAAAAAGTGGAGTGCCTAACGATATTCAGGTACGCATATTGAATAATCCCATATAAACTCAGTTTACACTTATTTTTGTACATTTTAATACTTATATATGTTTACCATTTTTATTGATAACGTTTTCCAAAATTGCTTCTTCCTGAAATAAAACGGAATTTGTATTACTGAGAATTTTTTTTTATTAATATGTTATAACTGCTACTTTGTCTTTTGTTTATTCATCCTTTTGTTTCCTACTAAATAAAAATAATTACAAAATAATTAAAGACGCTGTTGCTGTCATTTGCGAGTATTGAAACAATGAATTCGCGCGCAGCGAATGAAACGTTTTCAGTGCAAACGAAACTGACAAATACGTTACAGACTGATCCTCATGCCACTATGAATATGGATTGTGTTCTATTGGGTACTCCTGAATTAGGCACATACTTGTTAGCTGCTGGCCATGATGAGGTTGATTGTAAACTACGTTTTAATAAAAGAGGTTGTTATAGATAAAAATTTTTTCTTCATATTATCGGTAATAATTTACCAAATTCTATTACTTTTACTAGTTATTGTGTTAAATAAAATTTTTTTTTTCTACAAATCTGAATTCCAGTATTGCGATATTTACGAGTCTTATGGATTTTCACTGACGGAAGCTGATAAAGACGAAAAACCTTCCTTAGCACTAAATTTCAAGAAAATTTCTCGCATAACATCTGATGAGAAACCAGATAATCCCTATCAGGTATAAAAGCTTTTCACTTTTTACTTCATTAAAACAATATATTTGATCTACAGAGAAAAAAGCTGAACAAAAAATATCAACTTTATGATTGAGTCGGTAATTTTATCTTTCAGTGTGTTTTAAAGTAAAATTTAATTGATTTTTTGGCAGAAAACTGTTCGATTTGATCGCAGTAGTGAAGGACAGCCAAAGAAACTATTCACAGGCGGTGCTGATGGGTGCATAAGGATCTGGGATGTTGAAGCATTGCGAAAAAAGGTGAATACTGCTTTTTTAAGCTCCATGTTTGAAGTTTTCTTCAAACATGGAGCTTAAAAGTTTT